TTTTATTTACATTTTACGAAGAAGGAAGTTGCGCTCATGTCTTCTTCAGAGGTTTTTGTGTCGTTTCCTTCAGTAGTTCTTGGTGCAGCGTCCCCACAGACGAGGAGGGGAACAGGCTGTTCTAATTGTTTGGATCGATTGACCCAGTGCGAAAGTGAACCACAGCAGCTGAAAATTTAACAAATGTTGCAGCTTGGTTCCAGTCTACTGGATTAACAGGTGTGAAAACACCCTTAGATTGTTCTTCAGTTTCCTGACTTTCACTCCGACGGATAAAGGCGCGTTAACTCACTTGAATGAGTCCAGAATGTGTGCAGAGTTGGTGTAGTGGGTGAGGTAGAGTTTCACATCTGCAGATGTCCATCGGTCTGAGCGGCACGGCTCAATAAACTGGAAAAGAAAAGAAAAGGAGGAGCTCACGCAGCCTTGCAGACAGACAGATCTGAGATCAGATACTAACCTTCTCTACGAGATCAATGAAGAAATCTCTGACATCTTTGGTGTTTGTTAACTTTGTGGCAATGTTGACGAGGCCTCTGGAGAGATTCTGTAGCAAGAAGAGGAATAACGCTTTCACCGGGACAGTTAACAACAGATTACATTTTACATTAAACCAGGAAGTGTTTCTCACTTTAAAATTAGCTTCCATCTCTGTGAAAGCTTTCGTTTTTCCTCTGAGAGCCGTGCAGACCAAACTGAGAGCAGAGAAAGAAACAGGAAATTAGATAAAAGTGAGCTGATAAAGCTTTGTGAGAAAGCCAGGCCGTTTCTCGGCCATCTGCACAAAATTGGAGCGTGTTTTCGTTACCTTTTGTGTTGATCCAGCAGATCTTTGTCGGTGATTAAAACCTTCAGCTCTTTCAGCTCCTGTAAAAACTCCTTGTCCAGGTCGACATCCATGTCTTCCGCCATGTTGTCTACAAAGAGCATTCGAGTTGAGACTTCCACGAATCATTGTAGAACAAATTAATTTCTCAGAATTGTCTCTGTGTCAAACACACTCATTATCAAACTGTTTTGTTCCTAATTGAAACCATTCAGACTCAGAATTAACTCAGACTGGGATGAGTGAAACTTGAAGGACCTCTGGTGGTCAATGAAAGAGCCACAGTGAACCACTTGTTTTCTTAAGTACAGCTTAAAACTTTCTTTAAAGTGTTTTTTTTATCACCTTCGATATGAAGGTTTATTATTTCAGAGCTGTATAAACATTAAATCTCAAGTAATTATGATGTGGTATTTGATTAATGAGCTATGCAGCAGCTAAACGTGATGTAAGTGGAGTTTATGTTTTATGTCGGTAAAAAGCGCCAAAGCCAACAAGTAAAATCCCTCACCAACAGCCCCAACCGTCCAGTTGTTGATAAGCTGCCCGGCGCAGAAAGCAAAGTCCTGGAAGGTGAGATACTGCAGCTTTTTCTTCCCCGTCTCAAAGCGGTTGTTGGCAAAGAAAACAATGGCAGCGTAATCCCTGCAACAAAAAAAAAGACAGAAAAAGCAGCAGTTTTGATGCGTTAGTGTTAGAATATTACTAAGGCTCAGAACATTTTTATGAATTTCATTACAAGACTACAGTCTTAATAATACAAGAATAAAAAGTTGTAATAAAATGAGAATAAAGTGATAATATTATGAGAATAAAGTCAACTTAATGTCAGTATAAAAAGTCAGAATAATATGAGAATAGTTATATTATGAAAATTAATCAAGTTCATTTGTATTGCACATTTCAGCAACAAGGCAATTCAAAGTCATAAAAAATAAAGTCTTAATATCACAACTTTGTTCTATAAATATTATGACCTCATTCTCATGCAATTTTATACTCCTAACAACTTTATTCCAAAAATATTATGACGTTATGATAAATATATAAAATGCATCCAAAGCATTTTAAACCCAGCTGTGTTCACTCAATACCTTGCTAGTTTGTCAGAGAGAAGGAAATGCTGACGTATGTTCTCCACCAGGGGGCCCTTCAGCTCTTCCACCACTTTGAAAACACGTTTGAAGTTGTCAAACTGAAATACAGCAGATGACGCAGGAGGCTCGCTAAATTACAACATCGTGACTCGAACAACAAGCCAATCCCAACCAATAAATTCTGCTCTGTCGAAAATGTTGAAATGGCTTCACACAAAAGCAAAAAAGAAGAGCTTGGAGGGATTTCTTTTTCCCATTTAAAGAATTTTACAGCCTGAGAGTAAATGACTCAACACCGTCTTCTTTTACCTGACGTCTGCAGCTTTTCAGAGTCACACCTGTCTTGGCGCCGATATCGTCCAAGTCTTTCTTTGTTCCTTTGGAGAGTTTCTTTCCTAAGACCTCACGCACAAACGCATCATCAAAGGCATAATACCTAAGCAAAAACACACAAATACTTTAGATGCATTCTCATCTAAAAAATTTAACTACATGACAAAAAAAAGAACTAAAAGTGTTGAGATGGCAGCATCACCTCTCTATCAGCATGGTTTGCCGGTGAGGGGGGATCTGGAAGAGCAGCTGGTTTGCGAGTTTAGCCGGACTCTGCAGCAGACGCTCACACATCTGGAATGTCCTGTACTGGTCCATGGTGTCGCTCAGGAGAACATCCTGGTTTGCTTCACACTCGTCCAGCACGCCTCCCGCCATGCGCACCTTCACAGCATCATTCACTGTCGGATAAAATCCAAGCCCCATTAACATGCATATCACATTCCTGTTTACATGTTGTTTTGTGGGATCAGTTGAGGAATGAATCATGTCCAGACTGACTACTGGAGGAACAAACTACTTTTTTACGACATAAACTGGTCAAAGATGCTGTAAAACCATATTTAAAACTTTTAAAAAGCTTTTTTCCCCAGAAATCCACCCTAGGCTTAATTAGATAATTTATCATGTAATCACAAAGTTGTGTAAATAATCAGCAGCTACTGAAACTTTGCAGTGGATCCATGTTGCTCCTAATATTTAGGGTGTGGAGGAAAACAACATTCCTTGCATGTTTTTCCCACGTGTGTCACGTACTTTAACTTTTAGATCTCTAGTTCCTGGGAATTGCTAAAGCTACTGAAGCACTTTCAGTAGTTTAGTTCTGCCTAAATGTTGCACTGAGATAATTCATGGCCACATTTCTGTAATCTTGATGACACAGGAAACAAAATATCATAAGATGGATTGTAACATTATTTTTAAGGATGCTTTGCTTTGCAGGGAAGCTGTGAGTGAAGAAGCGACAATAAATCTGTTTCTTTCTCTATTTATTTTTTTTTTTTTGCTCTGTCATCCCAACTTTAATTGCTTACTTTAATACTTAAATTTAGAAAAAAATAACTTCCCTTACAGATAAATCAAGTATTTTTAAATTGAACTAAAATTCTAGTTCAGGGGTTTTCCTGCAACATTTACAATCCAAAGAGCAGTGTTTGCTGTCAGTCCAGTTGAATAAAATATGTTTAGAGTCACAAATATTATCTGACCATTTGAAAAATCACATCTAATAGTGTTTCATAAATATCTACAACAGAAAATCTGCTGTGACTTTTAAAATTCAACCAATTTATTCCTATTTTTAGGATTTAATAAGAAAAAAAACATTTGTTCAAAAAGATGATTGTTACTTTTCTTATATAGAATGTTTTGAAAATTGCAAATAACTGTAGAATTTGGTCTTCACAGGAAAGCTGAAGTAAACAACACTTTTTCTATCCTATTTTGAAGGAACCAACATTTTAAGCACATCTCTGTTTCTGCTGGAGGTTTCATCCAGCTAAACAAAGGTGGTTCCTCTCCACTGTCCCCTCATGCTTGCTCAAGATGTGTGACTGATGCAAAGTCAACAGCTTCATACAATGGGGAGTTTCTTAAATGTATAACTTATAATCAATTGGCATTGATTATAATACCCTAACCCTAAATGAAGCCATCTCTACTGTAATATAATCTGGATCTAAACCAGCTAATTTTGTTGTACATTTATACACAGCTGGATACAAACTAGATTTCTTTACATTGAGTTGACATTAATGAACCTAATTAAATAAATTCCTTTGAAATCTTTCCTCGTTGGAATGAAAATTAATTCTGCTCCTCTGATATTATTCACTCACTTATTCAAACGTACTTTTTTTTTTTACTGCTCTATTTACCAGCCAATTAAAGTAAACACATTCAGTCATGGATTCATGATCATACCTGTGTATCCATCCAGCCAGAGCTGGTAAACCTCCTCATCCATGATGGTGGTGTTACCAACGAACACATCGAGCTCTACGGCCATCTGCGAGGAGTAAAAAAGAAAAGCTATTCAACATTAACACGTAGCGATCTGCACTTAGCTTAGCTGCCTCAAAAGACCTAATGTTGTCATATTTTATACCTTGATTTTAGGGGTGTAAAAAAACCTGATATAACAGTCTGTCTTTAATAAAAGCGGATCTTCAAGGTGAAACGTTCATCCTGTCAGCTGGATTTAAGCAGTTTTACTCATTAGCTAAATTAGTTCAAGGTTAGCTTCTCTGTTAGCAGCCCCGTAAAACGAGCAGCAGTTAGCCACATCAAACTGATCATCAGAAGGCAAAACTGTAAATTAGGACTGAATAAAAATTGTAATATGGCTACAGATAATTAGCTGCAGCTCAAACTTTTGCAACTAAACTAGGAATAACGATCAAACGGCTCCATCCTTATAGGTACGCAGTGTCAACAACAGCAGACATACAGCAGCACACGCTTCCGGATTGGTGACGTCACGCCGTACGTAAATCGTTAGGATTTTTAAATATTAAGTAAAAACAATACAAGAAGCATGATCTTATCATGTATATGCTCTTTAGAAACATTTTTATTATTTATTTTTATTTTACAGTAATCTTATTATGGTTGGTAAAACAGCTATTATTGTGTGATTCAAACGGTAGCTGTGGTTGCCATGGTGAAGGTCGCCCTGATCTAACTCCATGATGCGGCGCTGACTGTAATGGAGAGTTTTTTTTCCACTTAAACAGACATTAGAGCAAACTAAAGTCATAAACACTGTGCTATTTCTGTCGTAGGAAGTTTTCCAGGGACCTTAATACAGTCAGGTAGAAAAAAAAATAGAACTCTGTTAAATATTAAATTCTTTATTACAAGAAATGTTCACCAGTGTATAATTTCTATCTAATTTACATCAAAACAACAAATGTTTTTACATTAACCTCTATCAATAAAATTATATTTTCTATCTTAGGAAAAGATTAGGATTTATTTAAAGCTGGTGTATAATCCCCTTTAACTGGAATACATTTATCTCCATTTGTATCTAAAATTGCTCTGAGGAAAGTTTACCCCACTCTTCACTTTCAACTTTGAGATATTTGAGGCGAGACTTGCATCCCACAAATCCTCAAAGCATCTCGACATTCTGAGTTTTGACTTGGAGTTTCCATTTCTTAGTGGAAACACCATTAAGAATTGGTCCTCAAATCATGCTGATTTGAGGACCAATCATGCTGAATAGTCCTCAAATTTTAAGATTTTCCTCAATTTGCTTAATTTGCCTTTGGGATTAACAAAGATCCATTTGCATGTTTTTCAGGTATGAAATTATCAAAATCACTAAATTACAAAGGAATAAGATGACAGACATCCATTTAGAGGTTTTAAACAAACAACAACAAAATAAAAGTAAACAAAAAGCAGTCAAGTATTGGAATGAAAATTAGCTTAAAAGGAGCCAAAGTCCAAAGAAGAACAATAAAAGATCTTCAGAAAGCCTGAAGAATACCTAAGATCATTTTAAAATAACACTGCTTTCAAACTATTTTTTAAATTAAGTGCTAAAAGCAAACCAGGAAAGTTGGTCAGCTATGTCTCTCATTATAGCATGTCCAACTATTCCAAAAGTTTAACTCCCCAAACTGGATTAAATAATTTCTATTTTCATATATTTCATAAATAGCACAGACAATGTTCTTTTTAATTGATTTCTATTGTGAATAGAAGTGAATGCTGAATGCGTTTGACAACAAAATGGCAAGGATAATTAGTGTTGGAGCTGCTGAAATTCAAAGGAAGTAAAAATATGCTAGAAAACATTGAAATTGAAAGTTTATTGTTCTCTCAATAGACAGGCTGCACTAATTTAAATGAGTTCACCAAAGCCTGTTTATTCGTCACTCTCCAAAAAGGGGAAAAAAAACTGAGCTGGAGAGAAAGCTGCAAGAGTTCATTAATAGGAAACATGAGTCTTGGAAGTTTCCTGCACAGTATGAAATTTCTTGACTCAGCATAAACTGTTCATTTTACTGAGAAAGTCTTCAGTGGTCAGACTGAAACTTACAATTAAAAAGCGACGACTGAAACTACATGAAACATCTTGCAGCGAGATATAGCCTTTTGTGGACTTTTGTCCTTTAATTTGTACTTTCTGTTACTGGGGAAAGTGTCAGATCCAGAATAGACCCCCTTCAACAGGATCCACTTCGCTTGCACACAATCTGCTCTCTTTTCCTGCTCAGATTAAGCCATATAAATCCCTGTAAATCCTTCTCCTCACCCTCCCGTTTCTGTGTTTCTGCATGTGTCCTTCAGAATGACAACATGTGGGAGAAAAAATAAAAACCAACCCCTTCTTCCACCCACGCCCCCCGGTCAGCTCGTTTTTTTGTCAGATCTCTTGCTGCACATCAACACTCTCATTTCTAAACTCCCATGACACCCTGATTCCATCCCCAGATTCCTCTCAGCGTGGTTAACACCCTACATTGTTAGGGCCTCCGTGAAACAATGGAGGTGGGACAGAGGGCGGAAGGATGTGGCCGAATACCTCAGCATAAACCGATGGGAAAAACACACACACAAACGCCTGCAGTCAAACTTTCCAACTGTGTTCTTTGAAAAGAAACAAATTGTGTCTCCTGATACAGACAGAATGTGCTGTGCTTTTGTGAACTCCAAAAGCCTTTAGGACACAATAGAGATAGTTTGAGTTTAGAGGATGAGATCACGCTTGTAAACGGATAAATCCAGAGGAAGTACGGTCACATACAGAACTTTTCCTATTTGTTTCGATTGTAAACTGAACTTTTCCATGTCTGTGTGGTCTAACATAGTAAAAGGGATATTAAAAAAACGCTTTAAATTTAAAAGTACAAATGTTTCTGAAATTGTAAAATAAATCTGTTTACAATGTTGCTAAAAGAAACTCAAACTATTTAAATCCGAAAGATAAGGTGTTCAAAAATGTCAGATTGATGCATATCTATGGTGCGTCAAGCAACCACTAGAAAGATTAACACTTCAGATTACTGGAGTCTGTCAAGTTAACAACTATCAACATTAATCTTCCTGTAAAGAAAGATAATTCAAAATAAAACCAAAGCAAGTCACTTGAATCAGGAATATTTTAAAATATTTTACTTAATAAAAAATCAGGCTTTCATCTTAAAATTTAGATTTTTTTTCAACAGTCTAAATTCTTAGGGAAAAGTCAGAGTTATGAAATTAAAGTCAAAATTACATTTTGAATCTCAGAATCTCTGATTTTTATTTTCCAAAAACATCAATTTTTGTAGATTAAAGTTAGAATTCTGAATTTTTAATCTCAGAATTAATATTTTTTTTAAATCGAATTTTAAAAAAAATCTGATTTTTAAAAATCTAAATTCAAAGGAAAAAGTCAGAATTATGATATTCAAAATATCTGGCATTTTAAATATTCTCAGTTATATCAGATCACAATTCTTTTTTTCAAACATGTAAACATTTTGAGAGAAAATGTCAGTTTTGTGAAATTAAAGCTAAGATTAATTCTCACTTTTGTGTAGAACTTTGAGCTTCTTAAAAGTAACATTTATAAGAATAAAGTAATTTTATGTGACCTTAAACCTCTTAAACAAAGCTTTAAAAATGAATAGGTCTAAATGCAGGTGGAGCTCCGCAACATTTACCATATTTACATCTTTTAAGTTGTTATTTTGCATCATCTCTTCAGCTAGTCCTGTTGTTCTGAATCGTTCGATCGCGCTTTTACTTTGAAGGCCTCCTATGTGTATTTCCGGTAGCGCTGCAGCTTCACGCGCAGCTCAGCAGGCTCGTTAAACTGGTGGAGGCAGACATTGTTGTGATAGCAGCTCAGCTACGGAGGATGAAGCGCCTGTAATGAGCAGGTAACGGGTCGAGTCAGACCGTTTTATCTCCTTTCTTTTTCTCTGTTTTACCTTTTTTTGTTTGTTTCTTTGTTGTTGTTTTTTTATATATAAAATGTGCCGCCCCCGGTAGAAGACACCGCCGCTCCGTCAACGGAAATCTGCCTCCATTCAACCGAAGCACAGCAGAGCCTGACGACGCGATGCCGCCGACCTGAAAACCCACAACATCTGCGAGGTTTTGCATCCGTGGGTAGCGGGGTAAAATCTCGGCGGACCCAATCGGAGATAAGCACCTCCACAGGGCGGATGTTTTCTCGAGAAAACGGACTGTTGAGCTCCGAGGGGCCTTTGGAAAACACAGCCTGCTGCTGAGGAGATGATGATGATGATGATGGACTGACATTAATCGGAGCTTGCGGTGCATCCTCACACCCGACCTCATTAAGGCCTTGAAGAAAGCAGTCTAAATAAAGAAATCACATGACACAAGAAGCGGATGATGTGAAAACTCTCAGCTGAGCATCAAATACAGCAACATTTGTGGGGGGTTGAATAATTTCTCAGGGACTCCATAGGTTTTCTCGCTCACAATGGGCAGTGAAGGTGAGATCATAACCAGAGAGCTGTCAAAGGTCTCTGATGAGGATTTGCTGGCCTGCTCCAAAGAGGAGCTGGTGAGCCGGTTGCGTAAGGAGGAGTCAGAAAAGATCTCCGCTCTGATCCAGCGCGGCAGGCTCATCAAGGAGGTCAACAAGCAGCTGCAGGGCCACCTCCTGGAAATCAGGGAACTAAAAGTCATCAACCAGCGTCTGCAGGAGGAGAACACCGAGCTGCGGGACCTCTGCTGCTTCCTGGACGACGACAGGCTCAAGGTGAAGAAGCTGGCCAGGGAGTGGCAGCTGTTTGGCCACCACGCCGCCAAGGTGATGCGGGAGGACCTGGGCGGCTACCTGAAGAAGCTCGCTGACCTGGAGCGCATGCAGGACGGTCTGGTGAAGGAGAACCTGGACCTGAAGGAGCTGTGCCTGGTGCTGGAGGAGGAGTGTGTGAGCAGGAGCGACTCCAGCCCCGGCGGCTCCACTGAGCTCAACCTACCCTGCATGGTGGCCCGGGACTTGGGAGACGGAAGCTCCAGCACGGGCAGCGTGGGAAGTCCAGACCAGCTTCACCTGGTGTGCTCACCTGACGACTGACGGCCGCCGGAGGGGCTTTGGACTCCACGGACTAAATTGGAGGCATTAAAGGATACTTCAGGATTAAAAAAAAAAAAGATGTTAAAAGGTTATTAGATACTAATATCTTCACTAGCTGCAAATTTGCGAAAACACAATTTCGTAATTGCGGTGTTTCAGTTTAATAAAACAGCAATTAAAATCGTTCCTTTCATCTTCTTGGTTTCCGCCAGTGGGAACATCCGGTTGTAGATCATGTGAGTAGTGTGATGCCAAACCCCTCCCCCCCTCTCCCAATAATTCTAGCCAAAACTTTTTATTAAAAAAACAAAAATGTTTTTTTTTTCAAAATTGTGTGTTTCCATTTAGGGAATTTATGTCAAGATACTAAAGACTACCAGGAAAAAAAATATTGTCCAATCACCATTTTTTTAAAATCCCACAGTCTTTGTAAGGTAATAAAAGATTTTATGCACTTACTTTGACTCTTCCCATAAAATGTGTTATGACTGATGAATGCCATTTTTATGAATTAGAAAAAGGTATGTACAAAAGTCCTACCCCTTCACATGTGGTATCATTGAAAAGCCCTAAATGTCCTCTCCCGATACCAAAAGGAATTAATTCAGTAGAATGCAGGGGGTGGGAGATATTCAAGTTTAGAAATGTCCTCTACAGAGGACAAAAATGAACTACTGGTAGTCAGGAGGATAGTCAATGGAAAGGAAGCTACTTGCTTAATTTTGAAAAACTGCAATGGAAACACTTTTTTCACATCACTTCTCCTTATTGGCAAGCCAATTTGCATATTAGCTAGATATTTGATTTGGATCTAAATATTTAACTTGTAGCAATATAAATAGTTGTACTTTCTATGTATTTAGGTCTGAGCTAAATATTTGGTTTAGAAAATAAATATTTAGTCTGAAAATAAAAAAAGAGTCACATGATCAACAACTGGATGTTCCCACTGGAACAAACCACAAAGAAGAAGACAACAGGAAGTAGCTGGAGGATGGTGGCATGTTTTTTAATTACTCATCTGGTGAACAAATCTATTCATGTGATTTAAATTTTCTTTTTAATGGAAACACCGCAGTTGCAAAATTGTCATTTTCTTTCGACATTAGCAGAAAATTGACAAAGTTTTGCTCACATTTGAAATGAAAACTCAGCTACTCATTCTAAAGTCTATATTTCCATCCTTAAAATCTCTAAATATTTTTTGCATTTCTCTAACATTTTGCACATTTTAGTCCAACACATTTTAATGATTTTTATAAATTGTTAAAATACTGAAGTTGACTTCTCATTCACACTGTGGTAAAGGGCTATTTCACAGCTTTTATTGGCAACTTAAGTCAGCTATTTTTAACACCTCTCAGACTTGTGAAATCCTACATTATCCTATGTTAAACATAGACCCTTTATTTCACAGTTTATTCATTTATTTTATTTGTAAAACAGAATAGAACAGTTTTCAAATTTGTATCTGTCAAATCACTAACGACAAACTCTAACCAAATCAGAGTTCCTCAACTAAAATCTCAAAAAAGATCATATTTGTTTATGTAAACTCTACGTACAACCTTTTAAAACATTTTTTGAATTTGCGTTGGTCATTATTACAAAGAAGACAATGGCTATTTCCTTAAGAAACATTGGAGGTGGTGTAACAGCAATGATCTTCTTGTATGAAACGTTTATTGAGAACGGAACATGTAAATGTAGAATAAAAATAATAATAATTATGCTAAGATCATGAATTGAGGTTAAAGTATAGAGATATAAAACATTTTAATCTTCGACATAAAATTCTACTGTACACAAAGAAGGAAAAGAATATGATCAAAACAGAAAATAGCATAAGTTTTTTACATGTACATGAAAGGAATCACTTCATTACATTCTCGTAGTTCTTTTTCCAGCCAGAAAATCTAACTATTTTTGTATCCTATCAGTTTCAAATATGTTCAAAAATGTACAGACCTGTTCAATAAATTAGAATATTATTGAAAAGCCCACTTATTTTAGGGAGTTTATCGCTAAACATATAAACTAATTACACACAGATGGGTGTTTGAAAGCCTTTATTTCTGTTAATTATGATCATTTTCAGCTTACTGTTAATGAAAACATGACATTTTAAGATTATAATATTAGATCAAACCAATTAAAAATATTTTTAATAACAGAAATGTGGGTTTTATGAAAACTATGTATTTGGAAACTAAATACTTGCTTGAACGATATTTTCAAAAAAGTGCTTTTGATCTGAAAACGAGACTCATATATTCAAATTTATTTAATATGACTCTAATATTTCAATTCAAATTCAAACACATTTTATTGATCCCAAAGGGAAATTAAATGTTGTTGTAACTCATATTAATTACATTTCTAGAACTTTCACTTTATTTAGTCAGGGCTAGAAAAGCATTTTATTTTAGTTGTTAAAGTACATAAAAGTACATTAACATACTATTAGATTGATTAAAGAAAGTTTTTATCTTGAGATGGATAAAACAAGGTTAGCATCTGTTGCTAACAGGGAGTAAAAAATACACAATAAAAGGGGAACAATTTAATCCTAGCATCTAGATCTCTTATTGGGAGGCTCAATGATAGTAACATAGTTAGCATAAAATATCTCAAATCAGAGTAACGATCTGAATTTTTAAAAAGTCAAAAGTATATAACCAATTAAGTGAGAACTTTTTTCTTGTTTTTCACTCTTAGTTTGTCTAATTGAGAATACTTTATTTTCTTAGTACAAGAAAGTCTGCCATGATAACAAATTTAGCAGGACGATAAATTCTTCCAGTAATTATTGCGATAAACAATAAAATTGTTGTTTTGAGACCATTTTCAAGTAATAAATTGAGTATATAATGCATGTAAATTTTATTTTGTAAAGAGCACTTAACACTGGAACTGGAAGAGATTTTAAATATTCAACAATATTCAACAACCAATACAACAATAAATAAAACAAAAATAAAAACCCACACAAAACCATAAATAAAATGGACTATGATGTCTCTGCAAACCAAGCTGCCTTTCAAAAAATATTAATCATCAGAATTACTCATTTTAATTTATCATGTGATTAACTGGTTGTTGAATCAGGTGTAGAGACAGGAAGATAATTGGTGACGCACCGCCTCCAGCCTTCGTCTGGTTGGTAAAGAATCATTGGATTCTATATAAAAATGTCAGATGCAAATGAAATGATGTTATAAAGGTTTGTAAAGTAGCGTTTGCATCAACTGCTGTGACATTTTAGAGATACTGGTGTTGTAGGTAAAAGTCCAGTTTGGTTTATTTATTACAGACAAGATATTAAGTGTTTATAACCTTTTAACTGAACTTTAAAAAATCCTGAGGTTTCCCTTTAAGGTGCTCTGAATGCTGCAATGTTTCTGTGCCACAATAGGATTTGAGAAACTTTATCACCCGACCAATTTCAGGACCTGATGACAAAGTATCTAAGTTTTACAGTGTTTTTTCTATTGAATCTTCTGAGATTTCTCCTTTTTCAGTGATCTGTTGTTGAAAAAAAATGGGACCAATAACTGGGTCATGAATATAAATTTATCTCATGCACTGGACTAGCCTACACTGGTAGAAGCCTTCTTTTCTAATGCACTGGAGAGCCTCGTCTTAGATCATTAAATCACAGATTTAATGATGGATTTTAATCCAGTTTTGAGCCATATTTAGTCCACTGGTGATTTGATATTGGCCTTTCCTACATAGATGCCCAGTTGTGTAATATTTTATGCACTCTCTCTTCCTCAGGGCAGGATTGGAGTGCCATATGTGCATGATGGTTGTTACTGTTTTTACTCCAGGTTGTAGTGCAGTTGGGAAAATTCGCCAATTTCTGGCATAGTTTAAGTTTTGGTTCATGGTAGAGGTTAAGGTAAAGTTCTCTCAGAGCAGAACTAATAGTTACTTTATCCTGTTTTAAAAACCCAGCTGGAATCTCTTTGTATCAAACTGGAAGGTCTACAAACTTTAATGATTTTTATTCCAATTCTTTTCTTTCTTTGCATTTAACCTGCACCCTTTGGGGTGGCTAACTTTGACTCTTCTTTATCTCGGTTTATCTGTGTTAATTATAGAATTACTAACTGTTTTTGGGTTTAAACCGTAGATAGATGCACATGGATTAGAGAAGATTTATTTTGTCGTCAGTTGTTTATTGGTGGGCTATGCTCGTAGTGCACTGAAGAGCTTTAAATACAGTCGATATTGACTCCCTCTGCTGTTCTGACCTTTTCTTCTGAGTTTGAACTCATGTTTGCATGTTCACGACACAGAGTAGGTGATTGATTTCTGCTCCTCACTTGATTAATGCACCCTGTTTGTCACGCAGGAACAGTTCATGAATGTTCATCGGTTTTATTTTTGGATCTCCTTTTGGCTCAAGAGGGCTGTTAATGCTTGTGCCCTCTTAGTGATCCACATACGTCATTCTACAGTGGCACAAACACTGATTTTTATATTTATTTTCTCCTTCTACTCAGGAGCTTTCGTTCTGACTCTGCCTCCCTAATCTCATTTTGCAGCTCCAATCAGAGATGTTGATGAATTAGCAAGACTCTGGCTTCAGCTTTTGATAAATGAGAGTTCGGGGTCAGGAAACGGCCATCAGCAAAAGTCTAAATGCATTTAACTAATCAATGCCAGAATTGATCGTTCTCATTAGCTAAATTGTCTGCCACTATTCTGGAAAGTATTTCCACAATCGGTGCATTTTGACTTATTCAGACCCAAACTATGTGAAGTTAAAATACAGCAAAAAAAAGAATGTCATTAAAAAAATCAGCTGTCAGACTGATAAATACTGTTTAAATTCCATGCAAGTAGTTGCAGTTGACTTGCGTCGAATGATCATTCTTGATTTTTAGAATTAAACTGACACATTGCTGCTCATTTTACTAAATTTTAATTTTTTTATACAGACTGGAGCTGGAAAGTATCACAAACTAACTCTTGTGCTAAAACAAGCTGCATAGGTCCACATTTTGAAAATAAATTCACTTAAAATTTCAACAAAACTCTCATTTTTTGATAAAAAGATTTGGCTCTAGAATTATGTTTTTTTTTAGCTGTATAGAAATCATTTTATTTCGCAAAACTGCAACGGAAACACTTTTTTCACATCATCCCAAGTGGAAGTTAAATGTCGTAACTCATCGTATCTTTAAAGAGTCGTTTGTAGATGGTGATGCTTTGGACAGGAAGGATCTCCTATAGCAGTCAGTGCTGCAACTAATCTGATGAGGCCTCTGACAGAAGACTTTAGCTGCGTTGAATTTTGCGTAAATAAAAAAATATATATCACAGCAAATACCACAAACTATTTTGATGAAACTTTGCATCCATACCACTCCACAAATCATTAATATCTGCATTATAATCAAACTAAACAAATTCACACAATTTTTCATGCAGACTTTTCTTCTTTATTCTCTGTGACTTCGTACAAGTCTGAATATAAAAATAACAATAAGGCACTGCCCACCAAAACAGAAAAATCTAAACATTACCAAAAATATATTACACTCTAAAAATTCTAATAAATAGATGATTATATAATCTATTCTATATCAACTCCTACGGTCCAGCCTTAGTTGTCAATAAACTGTATAAATATCTGTAGTCTAAAAGGATCCACACGCACAGTAAGGCTGGTAGTTATGAGCACACCATTGGTCGTTAACTTCCACAAAGTAAAAACAGATAAAAATATAGTTATTATTCTTGCATTAACCCAGTTCTCATGTTATTCTTTTAGAGAGCCTGAGTTTTTTCTGTTAGAGTATATTTTCTTTCATATATAGTGCATGCAGTTTTTCCCCAATAAAAAAAACATTCATTTCATCTTATAGCTTAAAAAAGTAAAAATATATCAACTTTATGTAAAAAAAAAATAAATAAAAAACTAAGAGTGTAACATTCAAATTCTGATAATGCCACAGATTTTCATGCCATCCAAGGTTCCAGTTTACATGTAGCCAGATATCTGGGAAAACCAAAACATTTTTAGACATTTTGGCCTTTCAGCCAACCAGAGTGGAGATTTGAGGAAATAACGCAGCAGTATATCCACATACCTGGTTTGACATGATTACTAAATCAACATTGGCCTGTATTTTATTATTTATATTTATATAAAATAAATATACACTGTTTCAAAGTAGTTAAAATTATATCCACACAAATGAACCTCTTGGCGCCATGTTTAAATCCTAACAGGAAGTCGTGGTTGTTTTGAAGCAACCTGATTAGCTGACATGGACTTTAGTTTTGCACTACACTGCCCCCTATGGGTTTGCCATGTTTAAAGCAAGCTTAAGAGTGCATTTGTACGAGTGTTAGAGGCAGGCTAAGAAAAAAAGTTTAAATTACGAGAATAGTCATAAAATTAGAAGGATAAAATCTTATTAAAGAGAGTAAAGTTGTAGTAACAGACTTAGTCTTGGAGTGGCCCTGACACTCTGTCGTACTGTTGTATATTTATTTGGGTTCATGTGATTGAAATTTTTCTGGAACTGATCGAGAGATCCAGTTCCGTGTGCAATATTTGTGTTTTAGAATCGGTGTAGGGGAGATATTTCTTTTAATAAAAACCCGGCTACGTGTGCCCAAGACCTTATCAGCTGAGATCAGAGATTAACTAACAAAGCAGCTGATCGTCTTGAAATGCCTAAAAAAGTCATTGTCCTCGTTTCTATCAGCGTTTCGCAGAGATCCCGCGTTTGGGCTGGAACCAGAACCAGCTGTAGTGTTTCGCCAGGCGATCACAGGGTGAGAATGGTTGGTGAATGCAGGGAGTGATCCGACTGGTCGCCACTGCTGCTGCTGCGCCGATGGGCGACTCCGCAGGGCTGCTGGGCCGGAGGGTGCAAGGCCTGATGGGACACGGCGAGTGCTGCTGCTTCTGACGTAGAGGACGGATATGTGAAAACCATGCCGGCGGAGAAAGACAGGAGGGACGGCGTCGATGTGAGGACGGGTGTGTGGAGCGACTCGGACTCAGAAGCGACGACCGAGGCGGTGGACACCACCGGTTTGGCCGGGATTATTATCTTCGGTTTGGGCTTCTCTGGCTTTTTTGTGGAGGGTCCCGGAATGATGGATTCTTCTGGTTCCAGTTTGATGGCTCCCAAAGAGGAAAGCGAAGGCGTGGTATCAGAATCGGAATCAGAGTCGTCTATTTTGCAGATGGGACGGTGGGCTTCCAGGACCAACTCGAGCTTCTCCTTCTCCTTCTGCAGTTCAGCTATTTCTTTCTGCAGACGTGACTTCTCGCCTTCCAGTTGATCGGTTTCCTGCTCCGGAAGGGAGGACAATCAAGTTCAATCATGCCTGACTCAGGTATTTGCACTTTTTAGGAATTAAGTGTTATGACACTTGAAAAATCTTTACTCACATTTTGCAATGAGTCAGTCAGCTCACGGCGGCGATTGCGACATTTTGCTGCTGCCATTTTATTCCTTTCCCTTCTGATCCTGCGTCTTTCCAGTTCTTCAAGTGACAACTGTGATTAAAAAGAGAAATGCAAACTATTACATATCAGAAAATAGGTTACAGAGCTGTTAAAAAGTATCTACGCCCTTACAGGTTTCTTCTATGTTTGCTTTTTTGTGTCACTTACATGTTTCAGATCTAAACCTGGTTGACATCATTTAAACTTTTAAAAGATTCCAACCTGGTTTTATGGGTTACGTCCAAGTGTTTTTTAACAAAAACTGAACAATCATAGGACAATCTGGCTGAATAATATAAGAGTTTCATATAAGTTGATATCAATAATTATTGATTAGTTTTTTAGAAATATCTGAAATACTGCCATTTCTTGTATTATACATAAATTACTCTAAAGTTGTTGTACTTATTTTCTATTTTCACTCTGCTCCGTTCTTTATATTTTTAAGCAGTTATGAGGGTCAGTGACAAAACCTTCAACTGCTGCAAGTTACTCAGCAGGTTGTTGCTAGGTAACCAAAGAGTGAGTGAGTTGCTAGGTAACCAAAGAGTGAGAGAGCTGTTGATTCCACCAACCTTCCTTGGCCATTCAGAAGCATATTTGTTACGTTTAAAGTCACAAACTGATTTCTGGACAGAATTTTTCCTAAAACTCAAGATGAGATGAGCTTTGTCTTTTTTTGCTGTGGAACTTTACTAAAATGCCATTTTTGACTTTCTTTTTTTTTTATCTAGTTGTGATTTTTGTGGGGGGGGGGTTTCCCCCCCAAGATATTTTATCCTACCATCTGTTTTCTTACAGGTTCCATTTAGGTGACAATATTTTTGATTACAAAGGAATCAGGTGTGAGTCGGTAAAGAGAAATTAAACTCAACTTTATAAAACTGTGGCAAAAGAAAGCAGGAGGAGAAATGGCTTTCAGTGCCAAAATCGTCAAGTCAAAAATTATTTTACCTACTAAATAATTAACAATTAATTAACAATTAGAACAAAAATTTGCTCAATCTAGTCAACTCTAATCAATAAAATCAGGATTTTTCTGTGAGAAATGCTTGCTGTATTTAGCCAATTTTTTCAAATTAATCAAAATCAGATTTTGGTGCATTAAAGTTGCTGGACAGATGTGGAGAAGGCAAAAACCCTACTTATTTCAAGACAAATAATTAGTGTTGTTTCCAATATTTTCTATAGTAATAAGATCTTAATCTTTAAAATGTGACAAAGAGCAAAGTCAGAACAGCTGAATGATGAGTTGCATTTTCTTGCTTCTGGATCATATAAGTGGAGAATTACCACCACCATGTGAGGACTCTGAGTCATAACAATCATGGCGGCTGAATAACTCAGTATCGTCTTCTTGTTTTTGTGCTTTTAACATGACAAGTCTGGCTTTATCCGACACCCTACTGAATAATTACAGTTGCGCCCTATATTTCCTGCCCTTTTGGGTCCATGACTCACGCTCAGACCCCTGGGGTGAGTCAAGGGTGAGTCACAGAAAATGACTTGCCCATGTGAGTCACATGACTGTGTACTTCCTGTACCATAAAATCGCAGCTTTGTGACGTGGATGTGTGCCAGTCAGCAAGTGCCCCCTGAAAATGAGAAATTGCTAAATGAATGAAGCTACAAGGGTTAAAGTTGCAACAAGAGGGATCCACGTTTTAGATTCCCTCTGACATCTGGAAGCTTTTTGTTTCACGTGTAAACAATAACCATAAAGTAAACAGAGGATGTTTACATTAGGGAATTAAAAACTATTCAAGGACTTAGAGATGTACTCAATAGTTTCTCAGAAAAATCTATTTCTAAATAACTGAAATTCAGAAAACAGCGACTCTGTGACACAATGCTACAGGATGTTGCATGATGGTTACACAGAAATGACTGAGTCACTGGTCACACCTCTGACCTCCTTAACTCCCAGATATCTTATTTTTACTTGTAATTCAATATATAGCTGCTTTTCCATTACAAATATGTACAAAACTTTGTCGAAAAACACAATTTTGCAATTGCAGTGTTTCTATAAACTAAGAAACGTTATTAAAAATCAGACATGAATAAGTAAAGTAATTAAAGACATTACGAGCTACGATCCTCCTACCACTTCCTGTTTTCTTCTTCTTTTTTGTGGTTTGTGCCAGTAGCATCAGTTAGTTTCCATTGCAGTTTTGTGTAATAAATCAATTTCGACATGGTCAAAAAACAAAAGTTTTTTGTTTTTTTTTAATTGGCGGGTTGAAAGCCAATTTATTGTCTAAATGTCAGTTTCTGACCGTCTCAAACCTACCTGCTCATCATTCCTGCGCCTTGTGGACGGTGGGGTATTAGCAGCTGCCCTTATGACCCCGGGTCTGATGAGATGGGACTGGGAAGGTGGCGGACCCATCGGCCGGGCCCCAACAATGGATGGGTAAGGCGGTACCGGTGAGCGCGAAGGTCCTGGAGGATGCATGAGTGAGGGCTGGACCAGCCACTGGAGGTCCTGGTTTGTCGTGATGGCATTCAGGCTTGGGACAAAGTGGCTGCTGCCTGCCATTGTAAATTTCTGGAATAATAATAACGAATAAACATTGTTATGTAGAAGAAAACTAAAAACAAAGTGACAAAGCAGACTTTGTCACTTTGTCATTATACATAAAAATTGATAATAGTCATCAGAGGTGGGAAGTATAACTACTTCAGCATATTTTTACGTAAGTAAAAGTTAAAAGGAGCCGTCCAAGAAAGCCGCTCAAGTAAGAGTAAAAAAGTATTTGGTAAAAGGTTTACTGAAGTATTAATTAACTAATCATTTAATATTTAAAAATGACAATCATACAGACAAAAAAGCTAAGCTAAAAGGCTAAGTGGACATTTTGGTATTTTAAGGATGAAAATGTCAATAATTTATATACGTAACAAAAATGAAATCAGGTGAAAGAATTATTTTTCAAATCAGTTTCTTTCAATAAAAAACTTATGAAACTTTAACATAAAATGCAGGTGTGTCAGAGAGTCTAGAAATTGTACTCAAAATGTAACTGAGCAAATATAACTAGTTACTACCCAGTTCTGACAGTCACACACTAAAATTACAAAATATCTTGCTGTTATATATTGTTTTTTATGTAACACATTAAAGAAATTTTACATTAAAAGTACTTAAACCACTAATTCCTCCTGTGTGTGTAAACCTGTTCCACCTCTGACCTGTAGCCCAGTTTGGTGAGCGCACACCTACCTGCTCCTGCTGCGTGGTGGACATGCTGGTGCTTCCCAGTGATGCGGAGTTTGACCCGGACAAGTTGCCTCCGTACGCCGGGTTGCCTCTCCCTTGACTCCCAAAGTTTCGATACATCCTCTCCGGTTTTCTGTGAAACGGCAACCGAACCTAACCTTGGTTTTGTGTGTATATATAACCTTTTGATCGTAGCTTTCGGGATGAGTCTGGTGGGTTAATTCAAACTCTGGGGGCAAGCCCACTGTATTGCCGTAAGTCGGTAGAGTCCAAACGAATTCAATCCGAAGGGGAGCAAGGAAGGGAAAAAGTGTTTGACTTTTGTTTAAATCGAGCCAAAACGTCCGAAAGTTGTTCAAGCCGCACCTCCCGCTTCCTAGTCATCCATGTAGAATCGGAAGTCTGGTAGTAATTGTCAGGTTGTAAACCCTTAAAGCCGGAGAATTGGTTTGCCACGCCCCTCCGTACTTACGGGAAATAGTGTTGTCTGGAATCTCTCACGAACTCAAGCCACGTGGGGCTGACGTCACTGCCCATATATGGTGAGTTTCCTCCCCGCAACTACAAACAGGGATTCCTCAGGCAGTGTCACCTCATGGTCAAAACTAGTTGTTTTGTTTCTCGTGTTATCAAACGTACAAGTGGAAATGTTATTATATTTTCCAGCTTCAGATAAGAGGCTGCCTCTTGCTGTAACCGGCTCATACAGGAAACAGCCAGTTTCCAAAGGCGAAACCAACTGTTAGCAAGTAAAAGTGAGACAATATGTTTATTTTACAACTTTATATGTAGCTAGAATGCTGTAATTTAAAATACACCTGTATATAAAATTATCGTTTTGAGTATTTCTTGAGACATTTACATTCTTACACAACATGAGTAATTTCTAATTTCCTCCTAAAACCTTTGACGTGAGCTCCTATATTATTTACAACCTTAGGGCAGATTTTCATCATTTTCTTTCTGTTCAAAAATCCACTCCATCTTATTAGCTTATGTATACATAACACTGAAAAATATATATTTTTAAAAATACATGAATATTCATGTTGTTATGCTGAAAACTATAGAACATTATTAAGGTAATGATCATGTTTAGACACAAGTATAAACATGTAACTGTAATGTATTAGTATAAATATATCCTAGAAATACATATAAACAAAAAATAAACAGTTAAGCTCATAAATTATTCTTATTTGTTAGTTTTGTGTGGGAGATTACACAAGAATGATCTGGGTTTTTTTATTATAATTTTTTACTAAATTTGTTTGTTTTACTATTTTTATTGCAAGTGCATATCTCATGTAATTTAAATGGCTATCTTGCTTTTCTTGGTTTTTATTTGTAATCTATATTTTTTTTATTTCAATATAAATTTTTAATATTTATTTATTTAAATAAATAAATATTAAGTTTATTAATCTTTGTCTTTAACAAAGATAAAGATTCTTGGTCCATAGTAGATTTAGGGAATTAGGAATAAAATAGATTAAATCGATTGTTATCATTATTAAATATTAACTTGTAAATTATTATAAAGCATTTAAAGTTAGTATGAATTTATGTGGATTCATGTAAGATGCAGTGCAATTTAAAACATGTAAATACTCATCATATGAACAACTTCCACTTTTATAAACATGTATGTGATAAAAGGTTCCCATAACGTTATAAATAATCCCATTTTGACTGAATTTACGTTGATCTGTGACTGAGACTGAACAGTCAGGCAGAGAGCTGAGCACGTGCCTGTAAAACTTGAGTTTTTTTGGCAGCCACTTTCACTATAAACCACATCAATAAGCACACATTCTTGTGGAAATGAGTCACCCAAATGGCGCAAAGCAGCTCAGTTACTTCACCACTGGTTTTACCACATTTCCCTTTTTTTAATGCATGCAAGCATGTTATAGCAGCTAGTAAAGATTACAATTTTGCAAACTGCAGATTTGGTAAGCTTAGTCTGTCACAACAGCTGCTGACCTTGCAGTCCCTCTGGGACAGAGTTCCCGGCATTGGCTGATCTGTCCTGTGGCTGACTGCTGCACTCATGTCTCGTGTTACTATTAACTCCGGTCCTGCGAAGTTCGAACACCGGTTGTTAATATTTTATGCTGGAGTCACATTTTTTTTACATTACATTGGAAACAACAAGTGAGACCTGTAGCTTTTTGTCTCTGGGTTAAAAGTTTCAGGTTTAAACATTGTTAAATCAGAACATGCAAGGTGATTTGTTTGTAATATGCTGAAAAGTGTCATAAAAAATGAAATAGGGTAAAGGTGAGCGTAAGGTGAGTCAACTGAGGAATTCACTGATGAGACATGTGAAGTGGTGACATGCCACGACATGTCTTCTCCCTATTACACCTTCAGTTTCCCTCTGGTTTTATCCTCTACCCTTATTGTAATCCTAGCTCTGACTTCCTTAAATAAATGTTTAGGTTTTTTAGGGGGTGAAACTCTGACTAACTTCCTTATTCTTTGTTTCTGTTTTGAGTTCCCTCCAAAAATTTAACATGATCCGAGGTGGATGAAGGAAGCTTGGATTCCTTTGCAGTTTACTCATCTAGAAATCTCTGCATGTTGTCACATAACTCATCCCACACCCACCCACGCCTTCATCCCACTCACACAAAGACGCTGCCATGCCACAGATTAATTTATTAAGCAGGATAGGTGTCTAAAGTCACGCCATGCCACCTTTATGCTTACGCATTACAAAGAAAAAAAGATTATCTGTAATCATAAGGTGAAGTCCGAACATGAATATACTGACTGTGCCTTAAATTTCATTATTCACAACGTCATATTAGACTATCTAAAATATGACACACTTTTAGTTTATGGAAATATTCATGACAATGACAAGAATACATTGAATATAATTTACAATAAACTGCCCCAAGTAGCAAATTAAGACTTCCGAGAAGCTGTAAGTTGAAACCTAAATCTAAAGTAACAAAAATGAAACTATCTTACTCTTCAGAAAAAACCTCCGCATCTTTCCAGAATTAGCCGCTCCGCCAAAGTTGAAGCTTGACAAAAATTTCCAGCTGCCTGGATGGACAAGAGGAAAAACATCTGGATAAGATATTTATTTGAGATGATATAAAGATTGAGCAATTTGACCACAATTATAAGAAGTCCTGCATATTTTCAGGGGGCTAAAGTTGAAGCAAAGTGATGACAATGTCATGATGTGGTGGTGTGTTAAACATAGCAGCTGGTGCAGAGAAGAAAGTGACTGAATTTAAAAAAATTATTCATTTTAACTTTTTCAACTTCATCTCAAGTATTCACTGCAAAAACACAAAATGTACAGTTTAAGCAATAATAATAATAACTTATTTAAACTTAACTTACAAGCAACATTTCCGTAAGAAAGAGGAGCTTGTTTTAAGTCAATAACTCCTTAATTTTGGTGAAAAAGTTTAAGTTTCACTGGCAGATTTTTTCACTTTTAACTGGGAAAATGTTTGATTAAGTGACCTAATCTGCAATTTGAACTTACAGGGTTTTTTAAATTTTTTTATTGGCTAAAAACAAGCAGCTGTATCTTGCTGAAAAGTTACTTCTAAGTTAATTTTGCCATATTTCACCAGTGCAAAGATATTTGCAATAGAAAATAGACCAGAAATATTTCGTAAAATTTTATCTCTTTTGCTGTATAGCTGAAATTTGGGGAGTAAAACTGGTTTTAAAGTGGAGAAAAAAGTAGAACTTTGAGATTTTTGAATGTCCGTGTAAAAACTCCTATTTGTCTTTAAAAGCTTTGTACCGGATGCCAATTCGCTAAAATAATACAATTTTGATTATGTATGAGGTATCAAAAATTTAGTAAATTACAAATTGAGGCTGGATTTTTAGAATAACAAAAATATGGGGAAAACAACTTGTTCAAATAAATCACTTAAGCTGTTTTTAATTTGCCTGTCTATCAATTAGTTTGATGGAAAAGTCCTGTCCTACGTACTGGACAATGTTCTAATTACATGCAAATGAAAAGTGGGTGATCCATTCTCAATTTCCCCATTTCATCTTTGTTCCTCTCACTTTGAAGCTCCTCTCTTTACCTTTTATTGCATTGCTGTTAGTGAAATAGTCTGATTCTTCCTCCCATTAGCTGTTTTCCCTCAGGCTTTAAAAGCTGCAGTTCTCAAACAGTTGCTGGAAGAGAACAGTCTGGACAAATCGCTGTTGGAAAATTACAGGCCAATCTCCAGCAAACTGATTGGAAAAACTCTGTTTAAACATTTGACTGGAGTCAATTGGTACATTAAATAGAAGAGGTCCCAGGATTAAACCTTGGGGTACTCCTGCCTGTTCTGATGAGTAGTTATCTGTAGGCAGAAGTCACATATGGCGTACCCCAAGGTTCAAACTTGGGACCCCTTCTATTTAATATCTACATGCTCCCTCTAATTCAGGTTATAACAAATAATAAGATTACTTGATATAACTATGAAGATGACACACAGTTCCACATTACAATGTCACCAGGAGACTATGAACCCATTCAAGCATTGCGATACGTAGAACAAATCAATATATGGACATGCCACAACTTGTTCCAGCTGATCAGAAACAAAACTGAAGTTATTATTTTTGGACCTAAAGAGGAACAACCAAGAGTCAGCACACAGCTTCAATTATTACAGTCAGAAACTACAAAACAGGAATAACATCTGGGTGTAGTGATGGACTCAGACCTGAACTTTCAGCGTCACATAAAGACGGTTACAAAATCAGCCTTCTATCACACCTGAAGAACATTTCTAAACTTTCATAAACTCATTTGTGTTTATCTATAGTCACATTGATTACTCCAACAGTGTCATGGAGAAGCAACATTCAGTTTTTATGCTTTTTTTATCTGGAACAAACTTCCAGAAAACAACAAAATAGCTGAAACACAAAGCTAAAAATCTCTTTTTTTAAGAGCTGCCTTTGTTTAGTGATAAGGTTAACACTGATTATATATTTGATGTATATTCACTTGATTATTTTTAATGATGACATTTGACAAAATGTAATATTTATTGCTTGTTTTATAATCGGTGACTATTATGTTTTTACGAACTACCTTTATGCTGAACTACAAATAAATGTGACTTCCATAAAACTGAAAAACTGCTGGATTACTGAGTCCCTTTAAATCAAGACTGAAATCCTATTTGATTAATAACAACTGGAATATTGAATAATTTTAGTCTGAACTGGCACATTTCATTATTTTTTTATCTTTATTTTGTCCCTGTAATGTCATGAAAGCAGCATGTCTTGTTCTTTAAATGTGCCAGATACAAATAAACTTGACTCTCCAAATCTTGCATTACAAAATGTGCGAAATTTCCTCAGGATGCTACTTTATGTCCAGTAACACTGAACACAGAGTTACATTAGTCTGTGTACTATTTGTATTATTCAGTGAGGAGTTGGATAGTTTCTGCCACGCAGGCAGACAGATGTCAACCAATCGCAGTGAATGGGAGGGATTAGCTCCGTTAGCCACGTAGCTTGTAGCCTCTACCGTTAGCTTTGCAGGTAAGTACTCCTCCCTGCCGTGCTGTGCTTTTTAATACTAAGCAATTAATTTAAACATAAACTACGTTTTTATAAACGCTGCCGAGGAGGCTTACTCACCCGTCTTCTCGGACGCGAAATAAAAAAAGCGAAGGAATGTGACGTTAATATTAGCTTGTCTGTTAGCATCAACTTTCAGCAAGAACAAGTTCGGAGCAACACAGAAAATTGACAATATGTACATAAAAAAATAAGGTTGTATCTATTTAAAAGTTGGAATAAAACTCTTAACAGTTAGATAATCTAAAATTCACCTGGAGTTAGTGAGAAAGGTAGCCTAGCTACTAGCTAACGTGTTACTGTTTTTAATTTGAAGCTAACGTCTCCTGGAGTCATGGATCTGCCTCATCAAGGCTACAGAGCAAGTAAGTGGAAATCTGAATCACCGACTGCTGTTTTACTTCT